GGGACCATCAGAGACAAACTTCACTTCCATATACAGAGAATGCTGAGAGGGGTTGGGTCATGTGATGGCTTATGTGACGCTGCCATGAGCACCTGACCAATGAGATTTATTGAAAAACACCTCATTAAGTGCTTTTCCTATCACAGCTCTTCCAGTGTGGCTAACATTCCTTTGGGCATCATTATGGTTTGGTTTGGTTGTGAACTGCCCAGAGTCCCTCCTTGTAGGGGAGTTGGGCGGTGATATAAATTTGATTTTATAAATAAAATTTATAAAACATTATAAAAGTTGGGCGGTGATATAAATTTATTTTATAAATAAAATAAATAAATCATTATCTTTTCAGCTTCTTTAACACAGCCAGCCACAAACTGTAACTTTGCTCTCTCTTGTGCTAATGGAATGTTACATTCCCGTGCTGGCACTGCTGAAACACCTGGGCATTAAATTTAGCCCTCCCCATTCTAAATATGGACTTGAGGCTGATCAGTCCAGAATGCAGTCTTGGGTCAAACTTACTTTTCAATTCTACCTGATTGGGGCAGGATTAAATCTCAGCAGTGGGTCAGTAGATGCCAGGGCAAACGCTTATAGACAGTAGTCCATACCTTTACTGTTACAGAGTAGAGGTTGACAAGGCTACAATGCCACTTACTTTGGGCCAGCCTCTTTCTATGTGTTCAGCCTATCACTGTGTTGTTCTATCACACTATGCCTTTTGTCCTTGCCGGGTAAACCAGATAGGAATCATGACCAGATGAGCTAATTCCACTTTATTGTAAAGTTACATTGACAGAATCGTGCAAGCCTGAAAGAACAATTCTCCCACCTTCTCCTTTACAGCCCGAGAAACTAGGGAGGGTCCCTTCTGAGCCTCTTGCCCTTCCCATTATGCAGCTGCGGGCTATGCTGTCCCTTATCTGACCGTTCCCTCAGCAGCGTCTCTTCACCCCATTTCCCAAGGTCTTTCCCACATGCCATTAGAATGCCAGCCTGTAGAGAGTAAGGAAGATGACCTTGACAGACATAAGCAAGCTCCATTGCCAGGATGACAAAGGGTAAAACATATTTTAGTCTACAACAGATAGATAATATTCAGAAGAGACTCAGATAAACACCTCCCTAATTCACTGAACCATAATTAGGAGGAGGAGGAGGTACAACACAATCAGACTCGCATGATTGTCTTATAGCCAATCTCAATAATAGAAGTTTTAGCCCTCCAGCAGTACTGATTCTTAGGCTGGTCTACTAGTGGGGCTAATACCACCTGCTTCTGCTATCTAAATAACTTAGAGTATTGTCAGCAAGCCAGAAATCTGTCACAGTTGAATCTCACTGCTGATCTCACTCTTTCCCGGGTTTGTAAATCTGGCCAGCTAGCTATGCCAGCCCTCCTGTCACCCCAGATAATCTAATGATCAGCGGCAGCACCATACTGGCAGTCACTAGTCATTCTCCATCGTGCCAAGCCTGCCGTCCTAGAAACGCATGTGGAAAAGGAAGGCATTAGCTTTTAAGCAGATTTTGAAACAGTAGTTTGCATTCATTTAGCATAACATAGATTGTTTGGAAGGTTGCTGTGCTGTCTTTTCGTCAGCTTTCATCCCTGCCATAAAAGAGGTGCAGGGGAAATATTTCAACAAAAAAATTGCTGTGAAACCCTTGAAGATATCCAGCTGAAACTAGATGATGTCCTCTAAAGTATCTTCCATCCCTCCCTCTGGTTTTCCATTCCTCCAGATATGAAGCAGCCACAGAATGATGCTTCCCCATTAGAGCCTAGGGAAGAATCTTTTTCTAATCAAATCTCAAAGCCCTTTGAATCCAATTGGTTTGCCCTCAAATTGCAAATGCAAACAGACTTGTGACCTCTTTGAACCTCAGTCTCCAACTGGACTTGAATCAAGGCTGATACAGGCCTACTAGGTTGCCCCTCCAGTCTGAAAAATACATTCAGCTTGGTCAATAGGGTGCTTTGCAGTTCTGCCACATTTCATTGTCAGGCATACAAAACAGTCTGTTTCTTATAATGTTGCTCAAGGTCTTCTCATCTTCTTCTTCAGAGGAATAACATTTGTAAGGAAGGAGCAGAGATAATATTTGCATGGAGGCAGCAGGAAGCTTGCAACCTGAAGAAAACTTGAATTAATTCTTGGTGTCCATGGTCTCTCACAGTCTATTCTGTTGGGAGCCTTTCCCATACCCATAATTCGCTTCATGCCACCATTAAAAGTTGCTAAAGAAAAAGGAAACATTCTGTCAGGAACAGAACATGGGAATGCACTGTAGAGTTGCCACATTTGCAGTCTTTTCATCTTTCCCTTCTGCCAGCAGTCCTACTTAATGGCCTCCAGAAATCCTTCTCCTTGGAGTGACATTCCATAAACAAAGACCTGCCAGCATAAGGAAATGCTTCTCTGCTATGTATGCAAAGAAGTACATTCCAGTGGTAAAAGCACATTCTGATGATAGATGTGGATTTTTTTTTTTTTAATCCCGGAACTGAAAGTGAGGAAAACAGTCAAGTCAAGAGCTTTTGTGGTATGCTCCATACAAACGGGAATAAATAACTCTTGCTTAAGGAGGTGGGCATTTGGAGCTCAAAATAGTTGCTGGAGAAATTGGAAGCAGTAAAAAATGAGATTCAGTTATGACCTTTATCAGCTCTGATGACAGCTATAAATCAGGCTGAAATTCTCATCAGCCTGCTGGACAGAATTCATTTGCAGACAAAGACTGCTGTGTTGTTTTCTGTCTTTGATTGAGGGACGCCCAGTGAAAATGAATACGGCTTCAATAATATGAATCACACATTTCAAAACACAAACGGAGAGCTATTATTCATTGATTCTGAGGACTGAGATGATTACAGCACTTGGAGACTAGCAAAGCCTTATTGTGTTTTCCTTTGGGTCATGAAGCCAATCAATTTTGGCTTCTTTAAAGCAAGCCAATTTGCTCTTCATTAAATTTCAACCCTTTGCTGATGACGTGTATTGACTGTACCAGCAAGACTTACAGCCCCAACCAATCAATGCTGGTTTAATTTTTTTCGCTTTTCACCTTATAAAGGTGGGATAGGATTATACATTATTAACTTCTCAGAATCAGTGAAATCTTTACAAAAAGTTCTCTATTTCTCAGGATACAACAGTAGGACACAGAGTTTTCCAGTCCAAGTGGCTGTCCTTCACTTTTGTATAACTTACAGGGTTTACACCTAAAAACAGCCATCCCCACCTTGGGCATCATCCTGATGTGTATGAACTTCAACTCCCAGAAGTCCGGAACCACCCATAGCCTTTACTATGAATTCTGGGAGTTGAAGTCCAAACATCTGGAGGGTGCTGGGATTAGGGAAGGGTATTTTAAAAAGTGAGCAGTGCTGAAGTCATAGGTGAGGCCAGGAATATGATTACACCATATGCATTAAATAATTAAGCCCAATACATGAACAGACTTTGGAGAGTTTTGGGATCACAGCCAGAACGAGAACCATCAGGTACGTACTATCAGTTGTTCTGCGGGTCATCAGATCACTTTCCTAACATTTTTGATAGGCTTTGCTACACAATATGAAATGACCAGGTTTTCTACTTTCTTTTGGGCTAAAAATTAAGATGTTGTTAACATTAACTCTCATTTCATTTCACATTCTATTTTCCTGTTTCACTTCAAATTGGTGTCAGTTTAAGAGTACCTAACCAACTTTGGTTTACCTCAAAATAAGTAGGGTTGGGCCTACTTAACACTAGGATGGGAAATACCAAGAAATCCTAGGGCTGTATACTTGACTGAGAAGTTGAAATAAATCTTGGAAGAAGGCAAAAGCAGTCACTTCTGTAGTGTTTTCAAGAAAATGACATGGACGTGGATGTCTAGTTGCCAAGAGTTGAATTTAACAGAAGGTAAATTTACCTTAATGTCATTTATTGAGAACTGTCCCTTTTTGTCAAAAGAATCATAGCTTTCAGTTGCTTGGAAAGAGGACTTACTGCAACACAAGCTTCATCCTTAGGTGCAAACATTTTCTTCCATGAACAAGAATGGACTGAGAGACCAAAATTCAAAGCACCATTCCACCATGATCCCTTGGGTTCTTGACATATAAATATAAATATTATGTGTGGATCACTATGTAACTGTTCCTCTGATATATTTCAGTTTAAGTGATCTTGAATCAGGCCATTGTGGCTGATAGCTTCATAGAAATTCACCCAAATAAAAATAATGCAGTTTCTTTTCAAATGTTCCAAAGGAGGTATAGCGTGGTATTTTTCCTATGAGAACACATGATAAAATATTTTGATATAAAACACTAATTTTACATAGGATTGTAAAAACTTGACAATATATTTCCCAAACGTTATTTTAATTGTCCTGATTCCATGTAAAAAAGAACCAATCAACCAACCAAAATAATTGCTGTGATGCTGGGTAAACAAAACAAAACACTAACCAAAGCTTTAACAAACAGATAAAGCAATTTGGGAAGTATGTGTTGATGGAGGTGAGAGGTAATGATACGTTTTAAAAACTAAGTTTTTAAAGATCTGATTTAAAATATGTAATCTAACCCTTTGCATTTCTGATGCTAGCTAAGATCATGAAATCTGAAGATACTTCTGTACCTTAGACATTATCCAGTGCATTGTGAAGCATTCTAGGCATAGTTTAGATCTCTCATTAGCCTGGAATGGTGGCTGGTCCTCTCAGAAACAGAAGAAGCTGATGTGCTGGTTCAGAAAAGTTGTGTATTTAGCCAAAGAATTCTACTTTGCTTGGTGATGGCTTTTCCCAGTGTCCAAACATTCTTACCTCTCTTCTGTTTTCTGATCTCCTGTGTTAGAAATGGCAAGTAATTAATGTAGACCTGGCTGTTTGTTAAGCTAAGCTACATGTTCTGCTACTGAGCTGTTGACCTCTCATAATAATCCTCTGGCCCACTTGTGATAGATATGAATCACACTCTTCTTTTGTTCTCTCTTCTCTTTTAGATACAGAATTCATTTATAGAGACCGGAATGGCTCCGTGATAGTGCACAATGTGGAAACAAACCATTCAGCAGTTTTAATAGAAAACAAAATAATTGTGAGTATCTTCTTTTATAGGTTAAGCAGTTTCATGTCTGACTGTGATGGAATGGAATTATGAAGGCCAAGCTCAGGGAGATAAACATTTTCTTAGCTCGCCAGAACTGCATGGGAGGAACAAGAGGATGAGACTGGCACCTCCCTGAGGGATTCACACTGTTGTGGCTGGGGGGCTTTGGGGACTGGGGTTTTTTTCTTGGGAGATTCTTGGTAGGGGTTGTAGCTAATAAACATAGCTGGACTGAATTGGCATTGTCTCTTGGAGTTCCTTGGGCTAGGCCTGACACTGACTGGCTCTCAGGTTACGAAATAAGACAGTACCTTCAATGTACTTGCACAGAAGTTGACCATTCTGGCTGAAACAACACTGAAAAATACAAAAAAAAACCCACATGTTTTACCAAGCTGAAGTTGAGATTTGTGAGTATTCTTGGCCAGACACTTCCAGTAAGCAAATCGTGTGGTTCCCTCTCACTGTAAAATGGAGAGCTGGAAACCAATAATAGGATAGGATAAGAAAACATCTTAATTTATCTCTAAGAAAAAAGGAATAGGTACATCTCCTTCCACCTGTTTTTCTTGATATTGCAAGTTACTTTCAAAAGCAGGGTCCAGGATACAAGCATGTCTCCAGCTGAGGGCTCAGCCTAAACCCCCCAACCTTAAAAAAAAAAGACTTAAAGGATATATTTCAGCTTTTTCCCTGCAGAAAGGATCCCTGGGCAGATTATGATAAATTTTGCAAGAGATTCACGGATACATTATTTCCAATTCAGTTAGAAACTAGAATGCCTCCAATTTTTTGCAATATTTATGTTACTAGAGTAGGGAAAGACTACATAGACCAATAAGTCTAATCTTTGCTCAATTCCAGAATCCAAAAATAAAGATTCCCAGAAAGATGGTTATTCAAACTCGCTTGAACACATCCAGGAAAATTATCCACCTTGCTAGATTATTGGCTCCATTATTGAACTGGTCTTCCTATTAGGAATTATTTCCTCACATTTCACTGGAATCTCCCCCTGGCACTTAAGGCTTTGATCTGTGTCTTACATTCTGGGACAATAAAGAAATGATTGTAGCCATTAATTGTATGGAACATTTCCTGATCAAGCACTCCTGCTGTCTAAAAGGCACACTTTTCATATCCCTTTATTTATTTTCATATTTAATTTTCTCTGTCTACCTAGATTTCACACCTTTATCTCCCACATCACAGGTCCTATGCCTTGTCCATTAAGTTAAAGGCAACAATATGAGCCAGGTCTTTAAAATCTTGGTTTTGGCAGACAGTTATACTGCCAGGACTTTAAATATAAAGCAAATATGTACTCTTTTAAGACAGATCAAAATATAAAGCAGATATTTACAAGTTTGAGGAAACTTACCAGTGCGCTAGGCATGCTGTAAAAGTTATACATGCATATTAAAATGTATTTATTTGGGGTGTTGGGTTTTGTTTTATTTTTCAGGTGTCTATAAAAGCTATTCAATATGATGTTTCACCAGACAGAGAATATGGACTTTTTGCTTATGACATTGTGCCGGTAAGTAAGTAGACTATATTTATTTTGACTTTAGTTTATGGTGTTTTCTTGTCTTGGTGCAATGGGTACAGCTTTACTTTTCCCACTTAGTGGACAGAAAGATTCCTACAGAAATGATAAATCTTGAAGTCAGGGCTTCTTTATACATAGTTGAATTTCATAACCTCGTGGAATGGAAACAGAGGGAATAACAGCAATACTGTGACAAGGGTGGGTTATTATTTGTAAAATGAGGCATCTGTAGGAATGAAAGATAAATTATTTTGAAAGGATGATGTATTTAAGAGGTGGTCCTATTGTTGCTGTTATTTTTGCTGGAGCATCTGCATGCACACCAGCTAAAGGACAATTTAGGAAAAAATATAGGCATATCGTTGTTGCTTGGGTATTGATCACTGTGGTGGACTCAACTAGGTCAATAAGTAGGAATGAGTACCAAAATTGCACTGTCTGCTGGGGAAATTGCAGAGGTACGCCCATGAAGTTATCAGGAGTTGAGTTCAACTTGAAGATTTTCTTTACTCTTCAATACCATTTATGCCACCGCTGATTTTAGGATTAGATTTTGTAGACATGATGAGAAATCCCTTATTTACCCAAAGGAGTTGTGCTGCCATCTATCAAAATGTAAAGGGTAACTATGGTAGACAGAGAAGTTGTTGGTCCTTCAGTTATGAAAACTGAAACATCAGTCCACAATCTATTGCTTCTACATGGGAACTTCAGTTCCAGATGTTACACCAACATAGCCATTGGCTGGAGGATTATGGGAGCTGAAGTCCAACTCCCATAACTCAGAAATTGAACTTCCCTAGATAGACAAAAGCTGCTGTAGAAAGATGACTTTGCTGCAAGAACTTTTAATCTTTCTTTATAATCTTGTGTAACTTACCAAAACTTTCTTAATCATTATAAATTTTAACAGAAGGTAAATGTCAATGCCTTTCACTGCTGAAATAGCTCATTAATTATAATATATCTCTTCCCAGTGTCAGACTTAAGGTTGAACTATCAGCATGCATTAATATTCAGTTACTCAGACGTCCAAGGAATTTAAACGCAACAATTGGACCAACAATCTTCTTGGGATCATTGTCTGCAGAATCTAAGCAATTTATATTCCAAACAGAAAAGGAGAAGGGGAAGAAACCTAGATTATGAGTTTCTTGAAAATGGTTAGTTAAATCTTTGAAGGTGAAGATATGTGGAATTCTGATAGACTTTCCGTTTCATGCATAGCTGCTTGTTCCTCTCCGTTAGCAGCTGAACTGAATAAATTATGCAAAAGAAGCAGGTTTACAGTTGAAGAAATGCTAAAAGAGAATGTGATACAGAGAAAAGTTCACAACAACAGTGCAGAATATTCATCTCCTTTTTCATAAATAGTAAAGAAATTCTGCAACCTAAGTTGTATTTCAGAATTATAGAACAGAAATTTTAGGATAGAAGGGAATGGGTTCAATTCAGATAATCATACTCTGAGTAGAACTATAGAACTCCATGGGATCTATTTTTTTGTAATAATTTTTATTGAAGATTACAATTAGAAAACATAAGAACTAATACAAACTACAAAAAGTATAAGAATGAAAAGAAAAAATAAAAAGTGTAGAAAAGAAAACAAGAAAGTGTATAAAGAAGTAATTTCCCCCTTCATCACAACAAGTATAAACAATTTTAGTAACTTGTCACCATCTCTTAAAATACGACAAATATTCTTTTCATCCCATATCTCGTCTCTTAACTATAAACCAAATCCAAAAGTCTTGTCATTCATTCCTTATCAGCAAAAGTCCATTAAAGGTTACCAGAAATAACTACATATCTCTTTTAATCTTGATCAAATAAACCAACTCTATATTCCTTCCCTGTAATTTTAACAATCTTGGGTTTTAATCCCTTCAAATAATGTCCTAGAACTTGATTTCTTTCTTTCTTTTTTTTTTCTTTTTTGTTCCTTCTCAGAGAATCCTTCAAAACTTTAACAGATCTCTTTTGTACATCCATTAAGAAAAGGTTCTCCAAATCACTGTTCTGGTTTAATACTTGTATGTCCCATTTAAGTATTAAGACATCAACCGGTTTCATTTGTATGTCCTGTATATCATCTTGTTCCATATCATTCTTGTAACTTGTCATATTTAAATCCACATTCAGATCAATTCCAGTCTTATCCGTTACAGCTTGTTCTTCTTCTGTGACATCACTATTATCTGGTATAGCTTTTCTTCTTCTGTGACATCATTAATACACCATCTATTTATGGTATCAGACATTCTTAAAAATAATTTCTGAGTCCATTATTCAAAAATATCCTTCAAAACATCCACTGTTAAATTATTTTGCTCCACTCTTTTTAACAAGTTGAGTTTAAGTATTCTTCTCCTTTAATTATAATCTTTATTTTCTTCTAGTTCCCTCTAGTGTCCAACCTTCAAAGTCCCATCCTATCATATTCTTTTTTTCCAAAGAACCCAAACAACCACATTTTCCCACAGGAAGGATTTTTATAATTAATTTCAATTTTTTATTTCAAATCCCTCTGGACCCCTAGTCCATTTTTAACTTTTCAAAATCAATACTCTAAACACCCTTTTGCTGTTTATTCCAAAAAATAAAAATTTTCTGAGTCCTTAAAATTGTATTTAAAACTTTTTTCATTAAGGAGAAGGAGATGCACCCAGTGAATGCAATGAAAACTTGCCGTTCTGAAGGGTGTTAATATTTCCAAAGAATTAAAAAAATAATTCCAAAGATGATTAAGAAATGAGGCTCGGTTGAGCTTTTTGTCCATAAAAGGCTGCATTACAACTGTGAGCTTAGATGGTATCCCTCGATTCCCAGCTGCTGGACTTGTAAGCTGACCACAAAACCTTGGTACCTGTCCGGAGCGCACTTGGGCAATATCATGATCTCTCCTTTCTCCAGAGAGATTTCGCCAGCAATCTCCACTATAAACACCATCCCACTTCAGCAGGGACATCTCTACTGCAAATTGTCAGAGTCTGCACACTCAATTTTTAACATGTTTTCTACTGGCTTTGAATAATAGCTTGCGCAGGTCCTGACACAAATGGCCAAGGAGTATTTGAAGGCCATTAGGTTGAATCCGTGATGAATCCAAATTCTTCCCAACTCAGAAATGTGGGATGAGGACTTAATGGTTTTGTTGGGGCCTCCTACTGGATTCTCTTTGCCTGGCTTAACTTGGTTTCAGGATTGTGGGCATCTCCCTAGTCTGACTGGGGTGAGGGTGTGGTATAATTTGGCTCCTTCCTTGTAGAAGAGATGCTTCCATATTCATAAAATCTGTTTAAAAATCAGTGAGTGGAATAATAAATGCACAACAACAGATAGATTGTTCACATGGAATAGCCAGCTCTTAGGACAAGCAAATGTCCACCAGGGACTAATTGGTAAACAAAAGCAATTTGTTGGATTGAGGCAATGCCTCAGAGACCTTTGCAATCAGAAGTGGTATAGAAATGCTTATTAAATGTAATAAATGTCTGCCAAGAGGCTGCCTGATAGGCTCAGAGCTATTTTTTTTCCTAAGTAAATATAATAAACTGAACAAAACTCACCCCATTGGCTAAGTAAGCTTTGATGATTGTATTTGTGAATGGACTTGAGAGCCTAACACAGGCTGAATGGGAGAGAGGTGGGATAGGATAAATAAATTGATGGAAGTGAACGGGGGCCATTCACTGGCACAAAATAAGTCTGTTGCTGCATTCTGACATAAATAGATGGTGAGGTTTTAGGTCGGCCTTCTCCAAATCTGCCCTCTAACAGCTACAAAGCATGGGATCAAGGAAGGCTGTTCTTGAACAGTAGACAATGTGAATAAATATACCTTGGAAAGTAATGTCATTAAATAAAAAGTTTAATCTTCTACTGGAACACCTTGTCAACTGACATATTTCCATCATGAAGTCTGCATTTTTCTCTGTCCTGATCTACCATACTCTACTTATTCCTTTTTACCTCGGCACAATGCCCTTTTAAGTTTATAAACCGTGTTTATTATACAAATCTATAATAATATTAATGTAGGATTAGTGCTAGCTGTTATAGAACATGTTTCACATCTACGGTTCAGATGCTGCTTGTCTTTTTAAATGAAACCTTGTCTCTCTAAGAATGGATTACCTGGGGTAAGTTTCATATCCTTCAAGCACCATTTGTTTAATAAAAAAAAAAAAACCAAGTTTATGCCTTGCTGGCATTCTACGTTGTAAGAAAATGCAGCTCAGAATAATGTTCTTTTATTGCCTTTCTCTTGTTTTGGTGGTAGTTTCAGTTGAGTAATTGTAAAGAATGCAGAAGTTGTAGAAATTAGCCCAGGTTTTGAAGACTTGACAGCTAGTTGTAGAGCTTGGTTTGTATCACTCACTAAAATGCTCATTCTGCTCTGAATTTCTGCCAGCCCCTGTTAAAACTATGGAGATTTTGTGGATAATATTAAGAAGACAGACATCGGTGTTTTAATGGAGCCACTCATTGGATGGATATTAAACTGTCTTGCCAAAGGACTTTCAAACCACATTCTGTGCTCAGACTTTTAACTGGGTATTATACAGATTAAGGAATGAATTTTAAACTGCCCGAGTAAAGAACTACATAGTCTCCGTACTAGAATCTATGGATCCGTGAAGTGGTATATCTTATTTAAGCACTGTATACCGCGATGTAAAGCTTTATGATCATCAAAATTAACGACTGCCCTTTGTCTAATTCATAACACGAAAAACACCAAACAGTAAATAAAAGTAAGCAGTTTTGTAGTCATACAGCAAGGTGATAAACTGAGAATACTAAATTGCTTTCATTATAAATGGCTATAGAGCTACTGTGGTTGTGACCAAAATAAAAATTTCCCTGTACCTTTCTTGCATCAGTTTCTTGGTGTTGCTAGCTAGCTAACTGCAATTAACAGAAGCACACTGTCCTAGAATTGATGAGGACAATTCAGGTCATCAAGTCCAACCTTCTTCTCT